AGAATATACTTTTTGGTTTGTCTTGTCTTTATGGACTTTTTACCAACTATGTAATAGGATAAAAGCTTTATTGAATGTCTTAAGTTTGGAGGTAGTATGAATTTGACTTAACATCTTTGATTGTTTGTATATTTTGAAAAATAACTGCCTAGGTTTAAGGTTATTCTTTTTTGTGCAGTGCAGTCTGTTTTCTTCTTTCTTTTTTTATTTTTTTTTCCTCTTCAGTATAATCTAGCACTTAATTTTGGCATATAGACTCAAGTCTGTATTCCAGAATTGTTTTGCCTTTTATAGGTTTAATTGCACATAGAGGGGAGAAATATCGGGATGACTGTTCCTGGTGTGTTGGCGTAAAGGGTAGTGAAGATACCAAAACTGCGGCTATCAGTCTGCTTTATTCTTTCTTTCCGCCCCCTCTTCTCCCCTTGAGGTTTAAGAAAAGAAGGAACAAAACTATGTTTTCATTTATTCATTTATCTAATGGAGAAATTGATAATTAATGGTGAATTTATTCAAGTTTCTTCTGACTTAACCAGAGTCAAATTTCACCCTCAGACTAAGTGACCCTCTTTCCTGAGGTGCCTTTACTCCATCTGTTTTTTTTTGTGGTATGACACAAGTTACTTGGTGAACAGGAGTCTTACAGAGAGAAATAGAGTGGAAAACACCAGCAGAGCTGCTCCTATGTTATCTATCGAAAACTCTAATGTCCCCAGGCTAGTGAGCACTGCTGTTAACTTCAGGTAGGCAACGCCTTCACCTGCAGCATCCAAGTGAATCTCTTAACAAATTTAGCAGGGCAAGAGGGCTGGAATGGTTCATTTTAACTAACTTAAGGTTTTCACAACACCACCATGCTGGGAAGGGAAGTGCTATGACAGTATGTCAGGTGCTAGGCTAGCTGCTCCCTTGGGCAGTAAAGCTGTGGATGGGGAATCTGATGCAACTGCAAAAAAACCCCAGTAAATTGGTCCTTTTATTTCCAAGGAGGAAATTGGTGTGTCAGGTTTAAATGGAAATTCTCTTCATGATTAAGTTGTTGGCCAAAATAGCAGGCTTTCATGAAGGTGGCAAGTTGTAGTTGAGTTTCAGCGCTCATCACAATGCTGCTAGGCAAGTGATCTGCTCGGAAATGGTACTGAAGCCAAGGGGCAGTTGTGCTGTTACTTGAAATGATGTTCAACTGGAACCACAGCATAGGCATGAGGCAGCCAAAAAAAATAGTGGAGAAAGTATTGGGCAAGTGATTATTTTCTTTAAACTGACTCCTTTAGTAAGCCATGTCTTCTATTTTGGGTGTAGTAAAATACTGCTTTTTAATTGCTTTTGGTAAGCATAGGGCATGAGTGGCTTTGTCAGACATGTCTGTTGTAGCTGCATTTCAATGATGGTGTATGGCCAATTCGAATATACTAATCCCCCCACTCCAGCCATAGTGGAACACAAATGCTGCACTGTGTAATGGAAATTCCTGTGCTGTGCACATCGGGCAGATCTGAATTTGAAATTAGCATGTCAGTTCATTGCTTTGCTGTGATACAAACTTCTCTTGTTAGTCCCTCTCCTCATTTTGCGTATGTCAAACTAAAGCCACTCTTGATACGGCAGCTTGAGGATTAAGTGAGCATTTTTTGGCTCAATTATGGCAATTAGTGTTCAGTCATACTGCATGTTGAAACCCAGGGGTTGACGTGTCAACATTTTGCTCTAGCTTAAAGTAGGACTATTTTTAGTCAGAGAAGTGAGTGTTCATATATTGGTCATTATAATAGAAAGCTTACTAAGCTAACTGAATGTAGAGTGTTGAGAGAAGCTGTTCTTCAGGTTGACTTTTTTAACAGATAAAAGTCTAGAACCAGGGAAGGAGGGAGAAGAGGAAGGAAAGCATATGTATGGATTCGATACGAGATTATTACACTGTCATGCCTCAAACAAGCAATGCTGTGCTTTTTCTTTCTAGCACTGCCATGGGGACAGCATCAATGTGTGCCCATGGTTTTGGTAGGAGTAAAGATTCGGGTGTGAGAACACAACAAAGATACTGCTTGGTAAAATCTATCTTAAGCCCAACACTGCAAGCTCAGCAGCAACAAAAAACTTGAGTCTGTAAAATACTTCTACCTTATTTATGTTGATGTTACGAGTGTTACTGACTGTAAGTCTATCTAGATATAAGAAGCAATATAAACAATTCAGCATTTTAAATACGGACTATGGCAGTGCTCAATAATGGAAGCTCACCGACCCATTTGTGATGTGGATGGTGGGGAGTGGCCAAAGACAGGAGGCAGACTTAGATCTTAACTTTAAGCAAATGCCTGCTAGTTTGGCTTAGTAATATTCTCTACTAGCATTTTGTAAATGAACACGTTTACAAAGAAGGAAGAAAATACATCTTTCCTGCCAGTTGACTTAAATTAATCTCTTACCTTGAATGAAGCTTATGGTATCTGTCTTTCAGCCTTTCTTTAAAGGCGATTAAACAATGAATTCTCCTTTCTGGATTATTTGACATACATTTCTGTGTGCATTTTCAGCTTCTGTAGGAGTATATCCACTGGATATATGTGAGTATATCCACTGGATGTACTACTAATCTTATCTTACATACTATATACCCCTGTTAACCAGTTTGGTGTCTGTCCTTAGTAATTAGATTTACTCACAGAAAACCCTTAATAAGCACTCACTAAAACATACATTAGGGTAGTAGAGATGTGATCCAGCAGATACTTTGGGCATGGGGAGGGAGGGGGTGTGTGAGGTGATTCTCCCCCCTCCCTTGCTTTTGACCTAGGACAATTACACACCCCACGCCTTGGTCATCTTTCCTCTGTGTATCAGCTTGATTTGCTGTAAATTTGTTTCAAGATTGTATTTTAGGTCATGTAGTAGATTGTAATTTTCACCTGTTAATTTTTTTTTTTTATGTGAAAATTGGAATGGTTTCATTCTGATGTTTCTCCAGCAGCTTAGTTATTTGACTTAATCTTCCTATCTTCACCACTATTTTTGCACTTACCTAAATACTCGGTGGGGGAGAGGGAAGTAACTTCTAAAGGCTCTGGAAGTCTGCTACTTAGAGCACTCTTGTTCGTATTAGCAGTTGACTTTGAGGAAGATGTGGGACAGCTGTTCCACCACAGAATCACCCGGAATTTCAAAGCAGTATATCTGTGGTGTAAATCTACAGTTATCTTCAAGATAAATGCAGGATTGTGCATTTCAGTTCTAAGTTCAAGATTTTTAAGCCCTTTGTCTCAAAATAGAAGATTATGAAGGTATAGTGTTTAAAATAGGTTTTATTTTTTTCTGGCTAGCAGCCCTTATTAACATCAGCTAGCTTACCCTAGCTCCTTTTTATTTCACAGTTCTCCCTCTAGAGATACATTAGTCATTGTTCCTGCACGGTAGTATTTTCCCCTGCAGCAGTAATTTGATTGCAAGATTTCATTTAGTCTCCATCTAACTCTGTTCCAAACTTCTTCTGCCTCAAGCATGGCACAGTGTGTTCGAAATCAGTGATAACTCTGGCCATGACTTTTCCTTTTCTTCTTTTTTTTTCCCTTGATTCTGCCATCTTTGCACCAAAATACCAATAAGAGAGCACAGCATTCCCTTGCTCGCTGCGAGCCTCTATAAACTTTCAGTGTGTTCATGGCCTGTCTTCTGTGGCAAAATCCATACTTCACTTACAGCCCCCACTGAAATACGACACAAAGGTGCTACTTACATTTTCATGTTGAGTTTTAGTCAGTGACATGAGTTTGATTTAGGTAATAATAAAGTGTGTGCCAGTTGATTGCAGTAGCTGGTAAGGATTTTTAAGAGCCTTTTGGTGTTAAACTCTTTAACCTTTCAATGGTTGACGCATTTTCTGTCCATGTTTTCTGGTTGGGGGAGGACAAAGTGTTTTGAGGTAAGAATGTGCTGGGCCAGTGCAGAGGCTATGTATGGATACACTGGCACATGCTGTCAGATATTACTTTCATGTGAAATAGCAATATTCATAGGTGCAGTTTCGCTTCCATCTATATAAAGGCCTGCTTGCACAAATAAAGGACTTGAGGCTTAACGAAGGGAAAATGAAGTCCAAATAAAATGCCAGAAAAGAAACTTCCTCCCATCTATCGGAATCTGACAGAGACCTTTCCATTCATCCTTTTACTTGTCTTTAGGCATACCTCCCAGTGGTTGTTAGGCAACGATAATAATGTTGCTGAGCATGCAGGCTGGCTAATTGGATTGTCCCCGTCTTGGTTTTTTTTTGTTCAGTCTTGGTCATCTTTACTAAGGCAAGCACATGCAAGTTGCTTCATTTGCTGATGTGATAAACCAAGGGGCTTTTAAGAGTACCGTGGCATGTGAAGGACAGAATTATGAAATCTGCATGAGCTGTAACATCATACTTAGTCAAGAGCATAAGAATTTGCCTCTGTCATTAGTGAAGTTTTGCTAAATTCTGCTTTAATTCAGCACATTTCCCAGTTGTATTCAAACCAGCCTTTTCTAATGAGAATTTCTGGTTGAAAGGCAGTATCTACTCACATGAATGGAGCTGAGCTGCACCACAAAATTTATTGTTCAGATAGGCTGAGAATTGCCTGCACCTTGTAACCAGCGTCACTAGGGTAGTCTTATAGCAAGAAATGTGTTCAGAAAATCAGCAATCCTTTACTACAGGGTATGATGCTACAGAAGAAATGATATATATCATAAGGATGGCAAGGGTTTTGTTACAGGAAAATATATTTAGTGTTGTTCAGGGGGTCCTCTTTCTCTATGCCAGCATCATGTGGGTGAACTCTTGCTACTGGTGTTGAACTTGAGTGTCTAATAGTTTCCATGATTGTTCTGAGTACATAAACTAAAAATGCATGGGACTTGCATTTACATAACGAAACTTACCTTGTATTAATTATTACAAGGTAACTTGGAGTGGTTTATGCTCCATTTATTTGTCTCCTTTATTATTTTTATTTTTTCTTATCTCATTGTAGATTCACCAAGTTGAAGAGCCTTAACCTTTCCAATAATAATTTAGGAGACTTCCCACTGGCAGTCTGCAGCATCCCAACCCTGACTGAGCTCAACGTGTCCTGCAATGCCCTCAGAAGTGTTCCAGCAGTTGTAGGCGAGATGCACAAGCAAGTACTTTATTAAAACTTACTGTGGACAGCCTAATAATAAAGGCAACAAGCAGTTTCGTGATACTCTGTAAAGAACCTTGCTATGAGAAACAGTTTGAACTTACCAGGTTTTGTTAGAGGAGATTGGCTTGTAGATCTGTATGAAAGCAGTTGTGAGCTGTGGATGGAGGGGGAGCACACTTTGTGTGTCAAAGCTCTTCCAGTTCCCAGCATTTGATACAAGGGTCATGGTACTTGGTGAAGAAAATCCTTACAACTCCTTGCTTATCTGCTTCAGCCATCACACAAGTTGCAATTCTGGAGTTCGTTCCAGTACCTAAAGGGGGCCTAGAAGAAAGCTAGAGAGGGACTTTTTATAAGAGCACGTAGTGATAGTACAAGTTTCATTTTAAACTGAAAGAGGATAGATTTAGATTAGATACAAGGATTTGTGAAGATGGTGAGACACTGGCACAGGTTGCCCGAAAAAGCTGTGGCTGCTCATTTCTGGCAGTGTTCAAGGCCAGGTTGGATGGGTCTTTGAGCACCTGGACTAGTGGAAGGTGTCCCTGCCCCTGGCAGGGGGTTGGAACTAGATGAGCTTTAAAGTTCCTTCTAACCCAAGCCATTCTATGATCCAATGTTTGAATATAAAAGTGTCTTAATGCAGCCTATGTCATAGTTGCCAAGGCTTTTAAATTATTTGTTCAATATCTTCTGCAGCAGATGTTAGTGTTATTCCTTAATAATTTTCTTTCTTCTGCCCTTTTGTGTATTTATGTCACACTAACTTCAGCAGATTTATGTGTTCATAGGAAAGAAATGTGATTTATCAGGTCACTCACTTTCTTCACTTTCCCTTCCTCACCCCTGTTTTTAATAGCTTGCAGACATTTTTGCTAGATGGCAACTTTCTCCAGTCCCTTCCTGATGAGTTGGAGCATATGCATCAACTCAGCTATGTGAGTCTGTCCTTCAATGAGTTCACCGACATTCCAGGGGTGCTGGAGAAGCTGACTGCCATGGATAAGCTCTGTATGTCAGGAAACTGCATGGATACCCTGAACCTACAGGTGTTAAAAAAGATGCCTCATATTAAACATGTGGATCTAAGGTAGGTATTTGGAAAAGGGGAAGACTAAGTGGATGTCAGTCACTGGTGTTGAAACAGTTCCTCCTCGGCTGTCAGAATAGCCCCTGGGTGCGGATCTCTTGGGTTCGTCCGTAGGACTGTGTTTCTGGTGGTATCACAAACTGACAGCACTTGCTATGACTTAGCACTCCTCTTTGACGATAAGGTAGTATTTAGGGAGGATCAATAGGAAAATGAAATTAATATTTAATATTAATTAATATTTACACTGAAAGATTAAACAAGACTGTATAGGACTCTGGTGATTTCTGCAGTTCTTGTTGCTGCAGTGTTAATACAATGTAAATGATAGTCCCTGACCTAAAAAGCTGTTGTCTGAAATGTTACAGGTGCATGAGATGAAGGAAAGGGCAGTGAAGGTGGAAGAACAAAAATAGATACTTTAATATTGCTTGGTATGTTAAGAAGCGTAGTCTAACATGAGTAACAATATTTTATTGATACCTTCACAGAGCCTAAACAGATCCTTACTACAAATGGCCCTAAAATGAGGTGGTTCTTTATTCTTATGGTCTTCTGCAATCAACTGAGCAAGGCACAGTTCAGAGCCTGGACCATGAGGTCCAAATAGTGATGAATTTTGGAACTGTTTAATTAAGCTGTTCAAGCAAATATTTAATGTACTGTACTGTTATGTAGCTGTCAGACTTGGCCATCAAGGAAGCGGCAGCGTAAGTTAAGAAAACAGCTAAAATAGATGGATGAATTCTGAAGCATTTATGGTGGGGTTAAAATATGCCTGTGTGTTTATGTATGCTAAAAGTAAATAAATAGGACTCAGAGTAGGGATGCTGTGGCTGAGCTGCCCTTGAGTTCCAGTGGTGCAGTTTCAGCCCTCTCATTGTCTGTTGAGCAGTGAATGTTGGTTCTTGGTAACACTACCTGGAATAGCAAACGTCAAAGACGTTCATAAACTGTACTTGCTGCACAGTGAAGGGCTTTGCTTAAGTGAAATCAGAAGGAAGCACTGTTTGTAAATGGAAAATGGAAAAAGGCTGTGGCATTGCCGGGGAAATAGTACCCATTTTCTTTCACCTGGAAAATGTAGCTAATCTGCAAACACAACTGTTACACAAAGGGAAACTCTTAGAAAGCAAGAGCAACAGTAGAACTGTAGGTGTTTGCCCTTATCCTCAGTAAGGGAGGCTTAATGGGCCAGCAGAGGTTACTAAAATGATTTTAGTGTTCTGATCAGAGCTGGGAATTTGAAACTGAACACTTTGGAGTGCTTGCAAGTCTCAAACATTGCAGGGTTATAGATAATATCATAAGTTGAAACTTCTGCAGAAGTTGCTGAGCACTGGCAATGGCAGTGCACTGCAGTGAAGATGTGATAAAACCTGTACTCTTTGTTTGACAGACCCACTTGTCTTGGGTTTTTGCTTTGTTTACTTTATACACCCATTTTCAGGTCTCTGAATTTGCTTGCTGTGGAACAGGATGATGTGAGAGGCGAATATATGGGAATTCATAAATCTCAATTTGGCCTTTCAGTAAGACAGGAGACTCCAATATCTGTAGGTTACTTGTATGTGCCAGGCTGTTCCAGCAGATGTTCCTGATAGGCCAGCAGGATCTGTAGAGATTTTGTTCTTTTCCAAACTGTTGGGCACAAATAACAGCCAGATCGTCTTTTATTTTTATAGACACAATAATAGTAACGCACCTTTTTGCAGAGCTTTTTGTCAGTAGTTTTCAAAGTAGTTTTGAAAGGAACTTGGTGTCATCATTCCATTGTCATGATGGATAAAACAAGTGAGAGGATCCATCCTGCTTTTAAAGTACCATAACGAAGGGGAATATATTTAAATTAACCTTGATGATGAACCTGGAGGCATGCTATTTTAATTCCATGCAGCTACTTGTAGAGTGAGCATTGTTTTGTCAGCAGGAGCCTGCTGTGTAACTATACTTAATCTCCTTTCTTTTGTCTGCAAGATTGAATTCAATTAGGAGATTGGAAGCCGGTGAAGTAGATTTTCTGCATCATGTGACCCAACTGGATCTGAGAGACAACAAACTTGGGGAGCTGGATGCAACAGTTTTTAACAACGTTGAAGTGTTACACTGTGAACGAAATCAACTGGTAACCCTCAAAATCAGTGGATATTTTCTCAAAGCGCTGTACGCTTCCTCAAATGGTAAGTGCATTTTCAGGGCAGGATTTGTGCCTGGTTCTCTGTGGGATGCTTGTGGAGAGCAGTGCATATATCGGAGTGCATGTAATCGGGAGGAATCAGGAGGCTCTGGACATGAGACTTGGATAAAAGGGTTTCACGTGTGCTGTGTCAGTTGTGACCTTCAGAAGTGACTTCCGAATAACACTTAGCTACTGCTTTAGAGGTGTGAAAACTGTGAAAAACTTAGCATTTGGGCTGAAATTCGTCTCTGTATCAGCCAGGAGGGGTCTTGAAGTTGTCAGTATTTGTGTTGTGTTAATGTGTTGCTTTACTAAGGTAAATAAGGCATTTATTGCTTCTCCCCGGAGTTGGGAATTTTTGAAGAAGTGGCCGTTTGTAAGACAAGCTAAAACAACATGCATTTTTGCTGTTGCCTCTAGCTGCTTACTCTGGCCGGAAAGCTACAAAAGCTGAGTAGCTTCATTTGTATTTGATAATAAAAGTAATGGAGGCTTTTCCAGTTGAATAACTTGTGTGTTCCATGAATGGGATTTGTTTGATCTGTCTCTAGAAGCTGCTGCTACTAAGCTGCCATTACTTAAAAACCTCAGTTTTCACTACCATTATTATTTTTTGGAGTAGTTTGGTATGGAATAAACAAAATGCAGGCTCGGAGACCCACGAATTTGATGAGCATTCTGAACTGCCTTTAAAAGGCTGTCATCTTCATGATATCCAAGCCTGTGCCTTCGTTAAGTATTTATGCCAGGATCATTGTAGCTGAGAAAAGTTAACATAATCTGAGCATGTGCTGTGCAATTAGGGCTGAGAACCCAAGTCAGCTCATGTCTTGCAATCACCTGCCTATTTGGTCTTGATGTTTCTCCTGGCTGTCCTCTCTTTGCATCCTCAGCCACTTTGTTTTAGTCTCATATTCCAAAGCAACGATTATGCTTCTTGCACGTTCACATTAGTGGATTTCCTGTAGGCTTAAATAAATGTCTGCTGGTTTTGTTTCAACCCTAATGCTAAGCACTGGCTACCTAAAAACCTTAGATTACTAAAGCAATCAAAATATAACATTGCTACCAGTAGTTGAGGTGCTGTGAAAGGTCTTTAAGGCTGCCTGAAACCAGGAAATCCACAGGCATGCCAAGGCACATGTAATCTGTTGAAAAATACTCTGGATCTTGCCATGACCTGGGGGACCCTGCGGTATTCTGTAGCTTGCTGTTCCAGACTGGGAAATCTCCCTTCCCATGCCTGTGCCATTTTCACTGACCAGTGAAAAACGTAGAGCAGGTTTGTGACTGACTATTCTGGGCAGAGGATGGCGGAGGTGAAGTTACAGCTCTGGGACAGAAATGGAAAAATGAGAATTTGGCATGAAACTTTTAAAATCCTCTGGTTTCTCCTCACTGATCAGTTACGCAGTGTGTCGTAGCAAGTACAGTATAATATAGCAGATGTACTTACACATAATAAAGAAAGAAAATTCAGTTCACAAAGGTCCAGATCCTCAGAAGTTTTTTAGGTTACTGACTTGGTCTGAAGTCTCTGGGTGTTAGCTGCTTAAACTAACTCACGTGGAACAGCCATTTACGTGCAAATCTTTCTCACTATTTTTTCTTAAATATATTTTTTCTCCTAGAACTTGCTCACCTTGATGTGTATCCAGTTCCTAATTGCCTGGCTTATATGGATATTTCTAGGTAAGAGTATACTTTTTCTTGGGCCTGTTAAATACACATTTATAGGTACATTTATATCAGATTAGGCTTATGGAAGAATGACAGGAATTTGGCCTTGAGATGTAGGAATGATTTTCATAGTTAGAGGATGGGCTTTTTTCTGCTGGGCAGTTCTTACCTGTTTCCTTTTTATAGATTTATTTTTCTGGTTTTTTAGTACCAAAAGTAAAACATACCTTTATAGTTAAAGGAAAAGTTTCCCTAATTTAATGATTTCCTATCTTATAGAGATATAACATAATGATTCAAATGTGCACCAGTGAGAGACATGTACAGAAGTTACTTTCTGGATATGTCAGTCATAAGCCCAGCATAGGTGTAATGGTGTGATAGTTTACTTCTCAGTTTAGCAACTCCTGCAAGTCATGGTTGTTCTTTGCACCATGGCTGCTGTAGGAATGTCTGCAGTTGCCATTTAAATACATCCATAAATCTCACCTGTTAAGGGAGATGGGATAAGGAAAGAAATGGGAAAAGAAGTGTGTTAGTTTGTTTCACAATTTAAGGACTGAACCAGGAAAATACTTTATAAATGTGCTTGATGTCTGTCTTATTTAAGGAATTACTCATCTGCACCATTGAAGGGATAATCTCATTAATTAAAAAGCATGCTTAAAGCATGCTTAAAGCACTTTTAAGCTGTTCAGGGTGATTGTAACAATTAGTGAGTTAACCTGGGCAAGTGGCCATCAACTTCTAAGTTTCATCAACCATGAGTTAGTTATTTGCATTGTGCACCTAAATGTAACACAGGTGCGACTAAATAAGTGTGATTTATTGAAAAGCATTCTTTGTAAAGCTGTGTTCTCCATTTAGCTGTAAATGAAATTGGTGTAGAATGCATGATTCTGATCACAAACCCCTTTTTGTGCTGCAGTTCAATGATGGCATGCTAACTAAGCAGGCAGAGCATCTTCAGCTTCTTGGCTCACTTGAAATTAGGGAAATCCGAGACCAAAAAGGAAGTTATCCGAGGATAAGAGGGGTTGGGATGCTATCACATATTTTGGTTAAAGGCTATTGCATGAATAAACTATAGGATGAAAGTATGTGAATGAACATAAACATTGGTTTATGTTCATGCTGTGTTAAGGGTCCTATTTCCAAACTTCAAGTCTGAGTGCTTGAATATTATTGCATGCCCAGTTTTGCATTGTGTATGCTAAGTCAAGTAGTGGTTATGTGAATGCGCATGCACACAATCTCCTCCATGCATTTTGTGCTGCTAGTTTTTGTCTCTAAGGCAGGATACATGGGTATGTTTTCTGTGCAATATTTGGAAAAACTTGCCTCTAAGAGCTTAATTTTCAGAAGGGTTAGTTTCTGTGAAGACAAATGCAAGAAAAGGAAAACAACTTCTAAGATACACACTAAAAAGATTTTGCTCTATTCAGTGAGACAGCTGAAGAGTGGTAGAAGGGTTTCAGGGTTGAATTTATGGGGGATCGAAGAGGTGTTTTAACTGTGTAGGGTGTGAATATTTTCTGAGGAGTATCTCACAAATTTTCTTGTCCATGGACTTTTTCAACCTCAGTACCCTTGATACTCTGAATACTTCTTCCCCAATAATTTGGAAGCAGCTTTTTTCATTTTCTTAGTGGCTGCACATCTAGCGAGATAATAATGCTGTTAGCTTTCTTGCCTCCTCACTCGACCTTACTGCACTGTTAATGCCCTTAGAGAAGGAGAGCTGATAACAATCTCATAGGAAACATACTATGTAGCAAACCTGTTTCCTGCAGGTATCTGAGTCTCTCTTAAGGCTATATTATTAATAGCCTTTACATCTTGATTATCGTTTAGTTACACCTCTTTGTTCTTTATTCATAGGAATCACCTGGAAAACCTGCCTGAGTGGGTGTGTGACAGTAGGAAACTGGAAGTGTTGGATGTTGGCCATAACCAGATACGTGAGCTGCCTGCCCGGTGAGTCTTGCAGACCAGTTGCACAATGTGGAACAGGATAAGCAATTCAGAAATAATTGCTGATTCAGTGTTTAGCTTGTTCCAGTGACTGTCAGGCCGTTTTATCTTTTGTTTGATTTTATTTTTACCTTGTGGGATGTCATCATGCCTTAAGCTTCCACCCAGCCTTTCTTCTTTTACTTTCATGCAAAGAAAGCAGTGCCTTTGAACTCCATGTAGAAGTTTTGAAGCTGTTCATGTGGCTGTTCAGGCAGAACAGCCTTCATTTTTAATACTGAATATTAAATATTTACAGCCGTATCTTTGCATGACAGAGATACAGAAATTGTAACTCGTTTGACTGGAGCCTAGAGACTCCAGTTCACAGTGCCGTTTGAGGGATAAAGGGTTGAGAGGGTAAAACCTTATCAAGGAAGCAAACTCCTGCAAGTAGAGCAATTGCATTCACTATCAAGATGATCTCTTTTCCATGAGTCTAAACTTAAAATTCATAAATACAAATGCTAGGAAAGCAAGTGAACAGGAAGGAAAATAGCGAGTTTAAATAATGAATGACATCTATTAGATGTTTTTTTATTTTCTAGAGAGACCTGTTCCAGGGAGTATACTGGTCAGGCTGCTCTGTATGCTTCAAAAGAGATGTAGTAAAAGGAGAAAACATTAGGCACAAAGGGAGAAATTATCTGGAGATGTGCAGAGCCGTTGAAGATTGTAGACAGCTAGTATGTGGTAAGCTATTACATATTTTCTTTAAAGAGCTGTAGAGCATGGAGGAGCATCAGAAACCAAAAAGGATAGTTTTGTCTGGGTCAGGTGAATGTGCCATATGGTGCAAACTGGCAGTTTTAGTGTCAGAAATGAGGAAAGAATAGATTTCAGAAATGTGGGCAGAAAAGAATATGAGGAGATTTACAAGTAAACTAACAGGCTAACATGCAGACTATTAATCCCTCTGTTTTTTCACACAAAGTGAAACTGCACCCACTCAAAAGGTGGGGGGAGCAAAAGTTCGTTTGCCTTTCATTTGCACTTCATAACAGCAAGGACTATCAAGGCACACCGGATATCTTTGGGAGATTAATGATTAGCTTAAATGAGGTACAGTCAACATCCCACTTGTCTCTCCTGCCATCTTATCATTAACCTCAGGAAACAACTTATCTTTGAAAGCTCTTCTTTGTAGTATGTGTCTAGATAGCTTAGCTCCTAATAACTCAGCTCAGTTTTAAGTCCTGGTTCAAAACATAGGCTTTGAATGTCTGTAAAGCTTTAGGGAAACTTGCGTCAGGATTGAAATGCAAATGGCTCAGGTGTATGGACCTCCTGCTAAGTGTCAGGTGAATACTCGTGCCCAGGAAGTGTGTTCATGTGCACTGCTGTGTGCTTTTCATTCTACACAGAATAGCATTCCGAAAACCTAGCAGGACTCTTCTAGGAGGATGCCTGCAACTCTAACCACAAGTTCAAACCTTGACTGACCAGCAGTTTCCTTGAAGGCTGAAGGTTGCACCTAATCTAAACAAACTACAGTTAACACTCTGTGCATTTGCCTCTTGAAACAGAAAAACAATCCTTGAAGACAAAGAGTTGAAGCCGTCGAGATAGAGGACTGTGTAGCAATCTTTATCCCTATTAAAGAAATGGCAACAATGTAAACCAGTCTATAATGCAGTCATTTCTACTTTAAAAGTACTGAAAAAATGACAAAAGGGTACTTGAGCTATGCAGGAGAAATTCAGTGTCATAAAATCGACGTTGTCAAGGATTCCCCAAAGAAAATAGAAATGCTTCAGTTAAGAGTTGACAGAATGACCTTTCTGGCACCAATGAACAAATGTCTGTATGGATTTTTATTCCTTTTTGTCTGAGTTTTTTTTTAAGATCTGTTTGTATTCAACATTTTGTTGCCTTGAACAGTTGCTAAAGGAATTGGTTGAATGCTTTCACCAAACCATATTTTCGCAGAAGATGCTGATGCTTAGTGATGTGCTTGTCCTCAGAACTTTTAATCCCATCAAAAAAATCCAGTGGGAGTTGGGCAAGTGGGAATGCTGCCCATAGGGAAGAGCAATCCCAGCATTCTGGTTCACCACCCAGCTTGAGAACTAGGTGTCCCAGGCTCATCAGGTGTTTGCTTAGTTAAATGTGGTGGTTCAATCTCTTCAGGCAGCCCAGTTCCTTTGGTGCTTTGTGTTACTTGGAAAATTAGAGAAAACAAACAAACAAATCCCCAAAGACTTACTCAGTTCTTCTGAATTACTTATCAAATACTTTTTCATGGAAAAGCTAATTGCTAAGGTTTTGGCCATGATTTGAACTTTGCTTATTTTAAAATGGCACTGCCCTCACCTGTCCAAAAGAAGCTCCAAATAAGTAATATGGTTTTTTTGAGACATTGTCAACCAGTTCCACTTTTTCTCGTAATGTTTGGTGTTGACGATACTGGCCAGTCTTGGTCAGGAAAAGCAATAGAATAGAAAGGCAAATCCATAACTGAGAGAGATTTTTACAAGTTAAAGTGGAGTGAAACAAAAATGGTTAAATAATGAAAACTTAATAGATACATTTATCACAGTATGGTTAAGTCTTTTCACCCTGTGTTGAGCTCTGGAATGATACAGCTGGCTGTTGACTTGCATCCGTGGTCGTAATGCAGACAATCCAGCCAACTGAGATAACTGTTAACACTGGCACACAGATACGGAGTATGATTGTATCTATCAAGGGGAAAATACTTCACTGATTATTTTGGCACAATAATCCAATGACCTGATGTATTGTAGGGAAGGGGCAGGGAGGCTCTTTCTGTGTATTTGGGTCATTGTAACAGGGAAGAAGATTTTGCTTTAATGCTGAGTAATTTGAGAGTCTTTAAAGCAGGTCAGCCTGATGCGCAGGCTCACCAGATTAAACAGTACAGTAGTGGCAATGTAAGACAGGTGGCAGGTGAGGAATTATCTTTTTTTCTTAATTTTCTGAAAATGGTTCCCATTCAAATTCAGGAGTTGCTCCATCTTTGAGGTCTTTAGGTACTATTTTAAACTCCTTGCTACGTTGTTTATAGGACAAATTTTAGCTTTACTATTTGATCAAAACAGCTGTTTGGTCTTCTCTCTTTACATTGTCCTCTTCTCCCCCAGTCGTGTGTGTGTGCCTCCCACCCCCCCAGAAAAATGGAGCAGGGGGATGGGACTCCAGGTCATCTATCGCTTGTAAAAGCTCAAGAAAGTAAAGCCGATTAGATAAATTTCATTCGCTGTAGAACTGTAAAGGAGGCTTTATGTTAGTCTGGTATTAACAGAAAAGGAATATTGGGGGTGGGGAATTGCACTGGATTATGAGTCAGCACATGATGAACACAGCACTATGAAGCTTGTGGGGTGACTGGTGATTTCACCCACACTCCTGCAGTTCTTCCATTAGCTAGGGGGATCCCACCCAAAATGTGCAATTTTGTGCAGCCTTTGTTAGCAATTACGTCCTTCACTGTCATGCTTCTATATTCATGTTTTACACAGTGCAATAAGATAACCCTTTCTCACTGCTTTCACTCATGAATCATCCTTAAACCTCCTTTTCCCTGTCTCTGAACAACCTTTTCAAGAAGTTGGTGGAGAGTGGGAAGATATTCTTGGATCTGTGCGTAATTAATACCATGTCTGCTAATCAGTTGGCTGAATCACTTTCTTGTAGAGAACTGTGATATCACACCTAAATTCTCAAAGCAACTCTCTGGTTTAGTTTTTTCTCATTTTGGGTGTTTTTTGTTTCTCTCAGGTTGTTTTACAATAGTAGCTTGCGGAAGCTGCTGGCAGGACATAACATGTTAGGAAGGCTACCAGATCGGCTTGAGCGAACGCAAGTGGAGGTCCTGGACGTGCAACACAACCAGCTCCTTGAACTGCCATCTAACCTGCTTTTGAAAGCAGACAGGTACATAAAGAAATTTGATCACGACTTGCATGTGAGGAACCTTGCTTTGTGTGTTACTTCCTAGCTGAAAGGGTAATCTGAGGTTCCCCTAATTCGAAAGTTGCCAAGGCTTGTGTGGTAAGAACAGATGTCAGCCCAACTCACCAAAACACATTCTTTTTATTCTGGTTTTATTGCCTTATATGGTTGCTTCTTTTTCCACACCAAGCTCCTTCTGAACACCTACTTCTTGAAATCTAGCTGTAAAGTGAAGCACATGCTATTTTCTACTACATACACTGAGATGGGTTAGTGGCAGTTTCTTTAAATACGTATTTCTTAGGCTTGTTTGATGGAGTGTGAAAGCTTTTCTTCCCTTTCAGTCAGAGGCTAGAACTTATTTATACCTGTCAAACAAAACAAAATCTGTGCATAAGGCTGTCAGAATAACTCAGTTATTCCCCTGTCCTTGCTTTGTGAATTTTTTATGCTTTTTAAATGTTTGTCACTAATTTAGCTTGTGTCGCCACTTGATTTGCTTTTCTGGATTCTTATTTTCATGCTGCTATTTCTTTAGAGTCTTTATAATCCTTCTTCCAGGGTATGAATATATCCTAGAAAGTGGTTGTGATTGAAATATGGGAGGTAGCATTGTCTGGGGATGGTGGATGGGCTTGCCCTGCTTGGTGTCAGTATTCTTTGCAGCCGTGCACTTCCACATATAGTCATGGGATTTCTGAGTGCTCAACCCATACATAATTTAACAGACAGGGAGACCGAGTGCTGTAGGGTTTTATTTCTGATCTTAGCTGTGACGAAAGGCATGCATAGTTGCTGGATTTCTTGAGAGGTGGAGAAGCAAAAGTTGTGGTGATCTCACTGTCACAGCTCCTCTCACAGTTAAGAGTATTGCAAAACCCCTAGTTTTATACTGTTGTTCATTCTGTTATAAACTTCTGGTTAAATTTCCTGGGATTCACAGTGTTGGGAGTTGGAGAATTAGGTTGGTGGTTGAGATGGTTTCTAAATAAGCTCTTGACTTACTCTTGAGCAGTCATGTTCTGTGGAATTTGTAATTTAGGTTAAAAGTTACCTTTCAAAAGGGTTGGGGTTACTAAGACAGGGTTTTGGTTCTGGAAACCTGTCTGACATTTCAGCCTTGATTTGCTTTAAAGAGCCTTTAGGATATTTTTGTACCTTGATTATTTAATTTTTTTTTACAACTGTTCCATACGTGTCCACACAAGTCTGTGTGGGATACCACCTTTGGAATAAATTGATTATCAGCAAAGTTATTCTGATGTTAATTTACTGTTTCAGTTGAGATTTTTCATAAAAGCACAGACAAAGCATTAAAACTTAGCAAAGTTACTACTGTAATAATTGCAATTATCTGTCACATTTCTAAGTGGTGAAATTCATAGCCTCTTTATTTGGCAAGAATGTTTCACATCAGCAGCTCTAATTGTTTTGTGGATGACTTTTCAACCTATTGTACGTTACAGATTGTATGAACTTCAGAAATGAAACCTTGTAAAAAGCTTTGTTTACAGGAAGTTGCAAAATTACGTCAAAAAATGCTATTTACAGGTCCCAGGTTGAAACTCATATCTATTTGCTTGGAAAGGAGAGAAACCCTGAAGTAAGTTTCAGAAAGCTACTTGGCATCTTTGAAAGCAAAGAGACAAATAGTTTTGTAAAATTTCTACAAAACTCAGATTGTAGGCTCAGGATGTAGGTTAGTGCAGTTTTGGCAGTGAGAGAGAACCTGAATTTTTTCCAGTGCAGCTCATTTCTGTATCAGCAATAGTGTGGTCAGCAGGACCAGGGGAGTAATAATTCCCCTGTACTCAGCACTGGTAAGGCTGCACCTCGAGTAGTGTGTACAGTCTGGGTCCCTCACTACAAGAGGGATATTGAGTTGCTGGAGCGGGTCCAGAGAAGAGCAATGGAGATGGTAAAGGGTCTGGAGTGTAAGTCGTACGAGGAGCAGCTGAGGAGTTGTTTAGTCTGGAGAAGACTCAGGGAAGACCTTACTGCTCTCTACAACTAGTTGAAATGAGGGTAGAGCAAGGGAGGTAGCTGGTCTCTTCTCCCAAGTAACAAGCAATAGGACAAGAGGAAATGGCCCCAGGCTGTGCCAGGGGGATTTAGATTGGATATTAGGAAGAATTTCTTCACTGAAAGGGTGATCAGGTATTGGAAGAGGCTGCGCAGGGAAGGGGGGGGATCACTGTCCCTGGAAGTGTTTAAAAAAAATGTAGATGAGGCCCTTAGTGACATGGTTTAGTGGTGGCCTTGGCAGTCCCTGGGTAATGGTTGGACTTGATGATCTTAAAGGTCTTTTCCAACCTAGTTGATTCTATGATTTATCTTTTTAAACTAAGCTACAAAACCGTAGACAGCTTTTCTTTCTTTTTGCGTGATGCCAAAACAGGAACAGGCTAAAGCCAGGACTGGGAGTAGATTTCCAGAAGTTTGTTACACGTGTGCTGCTAAGAGGTAGAATTAAAAAATATATCCTGAATAACAGTATTAAATGGCTGATTCAGGCTAGTGGATTTTTTTTCTTCCCCTCTGAAGCTTCGATATTGTGTAGCTTTTGAGCAGTACAGGGCACATTTTTTCAGTCTTCTACGGGTGCTAGCAGTGTCATGTACAGTGTCATCACAGGAGATGAACAGAGTTTACCCATCCTGCCATCTCATCAGCATTGCAGCCTCCCTCGCTTGTGATGATAATAGAAGCAGTTGGCTTGGGTGGACTTTTCCTCCTTGTTCCCTACCCCTTTACTGTCTTGGCTTGCAAATGGCTTGTCCTTGCTGGTGCTCCTATGACTGCTGCAAAAGGGGTAACTGTGAAGGAAAACAAGATTAGTACACAATGTCTGAGTTTTAAGTTTGGAATTTCCTACAGAAAACATCTTTTGTTTTTATTTTGTTTTCCAATGTTTGCATCTGTCAGTAGAAATGGGTCTGGGCCAGGGAAAGGTGTTCAGAGGGTTTGTTTTGATTTAAAAAGGTAAAATGATTCTCATCTCCAAGCATTCCCTGGGAAGCACAATCTGTACTGCCAGACGTGCCAAGAGAACTGGGTTTCCTGAGTGGTCTGCCATGGTCTTTACCCAGCATGTAATGTTGGACAAATTACCTTACAGAACCCTTGTCTCTCTATAAAATTACTCACCTTTTGCAGCCTTGAAATTTTTTTATTTTTTTATTTTTGGAAGATATTCAGGTCTGTGCAACTGACAGATGATATCTTGTCTGGATATCTGAAGTCTTATGCTGTGAATTATAAACGCTTTCTCCTTCTCAGTCCTGAATATTTGACAAAGTGGGTGTGAAGCGCCTTGGGCGAACTTCAGCACAAGCACTGGTGGGCTTTGACATCTAGAACATCTGAGGAAGGGAGGGAAATCTGTGCATTGGTGCACAAAGAGAGAATATCACTTTCACCCCAGAAAAAGGAAAGAAACACTGAAAAACCTCTGTTCTTTTCATAGCAGAATCAATAAACATCGCTTTTCTGCCTTAATCCTTCAAAAATCAATGGAAAGGTGTCATTCTCTGCTGAAGAGTATAATTTAGGGATATTTTGTTGGTCTGATTTTTAATTAACTTGTGTTTTAAAGTTACTTCAGGAGAAATTGAGGACCACCCTCTGAAATGTTTCTCTGACCAACACAGAACTTGGTTCTGTTTATTGCACTGAAAATATGCACATCTTGATCATGTTAGCAGGGATCAGGGATTTCTCTTGTAGGGTGGGGATTTTCTTGGCAAGATGAGCGCCACAGAGGCAGCCAGATAATCTCTTCGTTTCTCATTACCAGATGCTGCAAAAACAGAGAACTCATGCAAGTGCTATGGCTTATGCGGAAAACTCACAAGCTGAGTCCTGAACCTTTTTTTCATGCACCTGCATTGCTGCAGCCTTTCATTTCTGTCCACAGCTTCATCTGTTGTCATGCCTTTCCTGCTTTGTCCAATTCTTGTACTTTTGGAATTGGTCAAGGAAAGCAGACTTTTACAGCTTTCCTTGACCAATTTGCAGCAAACTGCCATTTAATGGCATGAAAATTGTTGTACAAAATGCTTTGCAGATAAGACGAGCAAGCATTCAAGAGCTTTAGCTGGCTATGGATGAAAAGCAGTGGCAGCGGTCAGGGAGGTTTAAAAACGGAGACACAGTGGTGAAGGGTGAGGGTTTGCCTCTTGCCTAAGCTTCCTTTCCAGTTAGTATGAATATTTTCAGTATAAACCCTCAAAACAGCTATCAGACTATTGAAAGCAGTTGTGTGGTGAAGACATGTAGCTGTGATGTGCACAGCTTAAACCTTGCACTTTGTTTTGTAGTGTCTGGTGGTGGCCGGCCTTGGTGGCTAAACCAGTGTCAGCTGTTTCGCTGTCTAAGCTCTCCTCTGCATGAATCTTGTTTTCAGCTTTGTTCAGCTGTTCTTATCTGTTCTGATTTTCTGTTTGCTTGTTTGTTTTGATTTGATTTAATTTGTTTGGGAGTTGTTGGTTTTTTTTGTTTGCTGGTATTCTAGAAGGTGACCCAGTTAAACTTGCTCTTGTTTGATATTTGCCATTTCCACCCACTGTGGCTGCTTCTTTTTGATGAAAGTATTCAGTCCTGTCATGGATGCATGAGAAGTGAGGGAGGAAGCAAAGTCGAATGAACGCAGAGTTATCTCAGTGTTATCTCAGTACTTCCTTTGCAGAAATGCTTAGCTGCATTTGTTTCTTTGCTGTTAAGTTAGGGTTTGCAAGCAGATATACTAGAAACTGGGGAAATCCCGGTTAATGAAACAGCTAAAGATAGGTTAGAAAGTAAGAGGAGACAGCAGCAATTAAATGTGGTTTTTTGGCAGTCCATCAACAGGAAGGAGGTTCACTTGAATGTTTCCGTCCTTTCTTTCTTTTTTTTTTTTTTTTAAGAGAAGAAATACCCTCTTTTGCAAGGCTGGCAAAACTGCCTTCATTTTTTCTTTCTTTTCCCCCCAGAACACACTTCGCTTACAGGATTCTTCCTCACACACCTGCTACCAGAATTATAAATTATTTTAGGATTAGGGGATCAGAAATTGAGGGCATGTCTCTGCAGAAGGGACTGAAGAAGAAATTTTGTGTTTTGATTGCTCTGTGCTGATGGAGATCTTGGGGCACAGGCCAAACTGGAGAGATTGTGATTTTTCTGCATATTCTCTTCTTGCAGCTGCAGTATTTTTTCCAATTCTTATCAGGACTTTCAAGCTAAGCACAGTGGTTTTGATTTGCTGCTGCTTCGCCATTGGATGCAGTTGTCTGTGCTCCTTTTAATGTTGAGCATTCCTAAGCTTTTTGGAGGACTTGCATTTTTCAGTAGTGGTTGTGTCAGTAGATTTTCTTCCTCTGCTTTTGGAAGTTCAAATTGAGATCAGAATCCTCTGGGTTTAAATAGGGAATGCGTGTGACTGCATATTGAGTCTATTTTGTTGAATTAGATCCATGTCCTTGATTATAGCCTATTCTTTGGGACAGTGTTTTTTTCTGTTTCATCTCCTGGAGAGGTTAAATCCAGCAAGGGATTGTACTTCAGTATCCCATAAAACCAAAGGTGACTGATTCTGGACGGAGATGAGTGTTTACATTATTACCCCAAAGGAGAATTTGCACCTTGTCAAAGCTGAAGAATTCTGGCATCTTCCTGCCAGCGCCTTCGTTTCTTTCTTAATCTCCGGCACTCTTTTAGTACTTGTTAATTCATGCTCTCCCTGCTATATTATACTCTGGTATGTGCGCAGGCTGCTGAATTCAGGTTTTTGTAGTGATGCTGTACTTCTTTTCATGAGCTTGTGGTATAGTGTGTGGGTGGAATTGGAAAGGGAAACAATTAATTTTGGACTGAGCTTTAATACTTGACATTCTGCTTCCATCTGATAAGCAATATGAGTGGGATATCTTCAAGGAACATGAATCAGTTTAGGTCCATGCACAAGAGAGATAGAAACAGTTGTGCCCAAGTAAATTTCCACTGCTCTGGAGGGCATTTGTAAGATGTACCTTCTAAGGTGGCAGCTGGCACCTTTCACGAGGATGAAGAAATACGGGAGTGGAAATAACCTGGAGGAGGACTTCTGTGTTAAATCAGCATGAGGGAAAACCTGATGGGCAAGTACAGATAGATGGGACTTTTTTATTTTCATTTTTATTTTTTGGACATAAGTTTATAGCACAGAATTGACAAAACATTGGCAGGAGCAATCTACTGGTTCATTCTGTTCCCTGCCCAAAGAACGGCGTCCCTTTTTAATTCAGAGAATATCATGAAAGAATTACCATTTCAGAATGCCTTTACCATTTTAATGTAACAGCTGGTCTAAAGGAACATGTAAATAAGCAGCATATTCTTTTCTAAAAAGTGAATTTAATGCTAACGATGTCAGCTACAGACAGATCAGTATGTGACTATCCTGAACCCGACTGTTGATGCTACCCAGCCAGGAGTTGTTATATAGGGGGGATAGGTGGGGTACCCCTCTACCGTAGGGTTCCCGTTCAAGACTTTTGGCAAGATTTTGCTAGCCACCTTGCTTGTGAACCTTGTTCACATCAAGGCACTAAACTGTGTGTCAGGATAATGGAGATTTATTTCTACTATTGTTGTATCACTTTCTGGAAGATTTGGCAAAAGGATGGAGGGTTACAGAACAACAGCTCTCCTCTCTACTTTCCCCATGGGAAAATATATGCATCAAAACTGATTTCTGGCAGGAATATGCAGATTCCGGCCCCTTTTAATACCAGTGAGGGAACAGTTTGAAACTTCTTGTTGTATTCCACCAATGTAGAAAGTTTCTTAAAAACAGAAGAGCTTTTGTTGGATTCATTTTTCTTTGAATGTAAAATGGCTTCAGTACAGTAGACCGTATTAACTGCAGCTTTATCAGAGCAATGTACCTTTTCTTATTTGAAGCTTTCAGCTGTGTTTTGTGCTAGCAGTACCTGAGCTAGCCCAAAACTTACGTTCTTCTGAACTTAATGGCCACAGGATGCTCTCTAGGTTATGTTCGGCTACCTTTGGTTCTTAAAAGAAGGTACATGTGAAACACTCCAGGTTATTCTGCTGCAGCTTGCAAGAACATAAGTAAAACGTAGTTTCCTCTTCAGGGCAGTGGAACATGCCCTTTCTTGGGGAATATTTTGCTGCCACTTCCTCATCCCCATCATATTCCTGTGAAAGTTCACTTTCCCCAGCAGCCTTAAACCTTTTTATTACTTAAGCCTTTCCAGGCTAGGCTGAAGATGACTATTTTGTATTAGGAGTACTGCAAAACATATTGTGGCTTTAATGTTAATCAAAGTGCCTTTTTTTGTGGAGAGAGACGACTATCATGCATATTGGAGTGAAGTTGCCAAAGTAATGGTTGTCTGTACTTTGGTTTTAATTAAGTACAGGAACCGTTGATGTGGTATGCTTCAGTTTAATAATCCAGCTTTGAATGAGCTTAATGTATTTTTAGTTTATAGCTAAAGGGCGAAATTGAGCAGCATCTTTTTAGAATAAATAAGTAATTTAAAAAACCCTTGTAGCTGCTTACTCCCTTCTCTGAATTAATCCTCCCTCTCCTCACTTCCTCCTCTGCAGTTTTACCACCCTTGTGAATAATGAATGAGCCTGAGGATTAAACTGCGTTTCTCCGAAGTGGACTCCTCTGTGTAAAACAGCTAACCTAGTTTCAGTTCTATGCAGTGCTGAGAGATTTTTGCCTCTAATGGAAACAGTGGGGTTTTTAATCCTTTGGCATTCCATGTGAATCTTCTGTAGCATGTCTGACACTTACTTGCTGCTGAGCAAGTTTCAACCAGCTGCAAATCTCGCAAATCCATTTCATTCATTAATAGACCTTAAAGGTCAGTGTGGATTCCTGCATGGAAAGGAGAAGTTATCAATATTTTATCACTTAGATTGATGACAGGAGTGCACCTACCTTTTGTGTCTCGATCAGTGGCTGTAGAGGTGTCAGCCAGCTCATTTCTGAGTCTTGTTTTTTAAGTGCAGCTTTGCCCATTGCAGCTGCCTATTCCTGTTAGTTGGTAGGAGCAGTACAGCCCAGTTTGAACGCGGTCACTGCAGACTGGCAGGCACACACTTATTTCTGTATCGCAAGTTCTCTAAGGCAGCTTTTCTGAAAAGGGGAGGAAGGAAGAGAGAGGTCTTATTTTTGTTGAAAAGACATGGTTGTGCCAGGTTTGGTTACTAAAGGATAAATAGCCTTATTCTCCCACTTCTTTCGAATTGCTTGCGTGAATTCTAGCCTTCGAGATGCCTACAGTGCATATTCCTCCAGTGCTGCTGTGATCACCAAACTCCCCTAAAAGAAATGTGAGTCCTCTGCCCGCAGAACTTGACTGGCAAGAGTGGGCAGTGCCCATACCTCTGCAGCTCTTGTTCCCATTCTGGAAAAAGTCCTTTAAGGGAAAAAGAATAATTTCATTTCTGTGCTGCTTCAGTCCTTGCTCCTTGTGGCAGGACTGCAGAAAATACCAACAGGGCTTCTGCTACTTTTGAGGAGTAGGAGAAAGGCACTTAGGAACTACATAGAGATCTGGCTGTCTTGCTGCATAGATCAGCAAGCAAGTATATATATATAACTTTTTAAATTTAATTTACTATTAGTACTGTCTCTTTTTAAAATCTAAAAGGCAAATGACTGCTTGGTCTCAGATTGGTGTAGGGTTTTTTGGTTGGGTTTTTTGGTTTTTGTTAGTAGTGCGTCTTTAGCTATCTAAATACAGAGAATTCTTTTTCATATTTTGTAGTTGCTTTCAGGCCTGCAGGTTTAAACAAAATACTGTCTGCTCCTTAGCCAGTATTTAAAATACTGAAAAATTGGCTGGCTTTTTTGCCAGTGACTTCTCTTGAAGGGCAGCTATATTCTCATGCTTTGTTGATGATGAATCAGAATTCATTTTCATGCGGAATGAATATGGAAATTATGTAGTTTGTTATTGCTCTTACCTGTAGGTACATCTGTTGGAGGTACTGAGTACTTGATAAGGGGTTAGAGGCATTTTGACTACTCGTTTTGCTGATGTGTTCTTTTAACAACATGATCAGAAATTATGTTCATAGAATGCAAGACTTCTGGCATTTCTATCCATTGTTGTGAACTTGTTGCTTTTGACCTTTGCTTTATAGCTACCTTAACTCTTAAAAATAGATATTTTTATTTATACTTCTAGACACAAAACCTGCAGGATGTTTCACTGAATTCCCTTATGTAACTTCTTCTTGCAGCCTGAGATTTCTTAATGCCTCTGCCAACAAACTGGAAATGCTTCCTCCAGCCACTCTTTCTGAAGAAACCCATAGCATCTTGCAGGAGTTGTATTTGACCAATAACAACCTGACAGATAAATGCGTACCCTTGTTAACGGGCCATCCACACCTGAAAATCTTGCACATGGCTTACAATCGCTTACAGAGCTTCCCTGCGAGGTAAGTCACTAGTTTTGCTGCCTCTTGCCCACCGGTGGGTGGGCATTATGAAACGTTTTCACAGCAAGAACTAAATTGCACAGAAGTGTGGTGGCACAGGCTGTGTTTTGAATGTGGTGATACTGCAGTGGGTAGATTGACCTGCTGTGCCTTCTTGGACATTGCATGCATTCGTGCATTACACAGACAAGTGAGTTCTACATGTTAGTTGGTGAGTTTCGATTGTGCTTGAAACTTCCTTCACCTAGACTAATTCAGCATGACCACAGTATGCTGTTGAAGTCAAGCAAGAAGGCCATCTGTTTTCTCTGGTTTGGTTGATTTGCTTTCACCTGATGGGCTTCTCCTTCCCAGAGCTTTGTGAGCATAGCAGTCTGGAAATGTCTCCGGAAGTGGGCTAAATGCCACTAGGGAGAAATCGTCTCGTTCCATAAGGAGATTCTGCCTTGGCAGCAATTTCTGTACCTCCAATTCACCCTGTTTTAATCAGAAATCTTTCAAGTGTAAGATGTGCTGTAAAGCTGATGAGGTACAACCTTGAAAAAGGGATGCCAATAAATGAAGGAAGAGACATCTCTGTCCTTGTGTGATGTTCTGAGCAGCCGGGCTTCAACAGCAGTCGGGAGGGAGGGAGATAAATTAGGGGGAAGAGCTGAGTGGGATGCTAGAAGGTGGGAAGGGAAATTTGGGATGAAGTGAGAAACCAGGGCTGAAAATAAGGGAAAGAAAGGAGGAAAAAGAGTGAGAGTGAGCTGGTGAGCAGGGGGAATGTAAGCAAAATAAGTAATTTGAAAGGTAGCATTACAAAACATTGACAGAAGCAGCACACATTTTGTTCCACAACTGTGTTAGTGTCTGATGTGAGGAGAGGTGACAGTCACTGCTGTGAACAAGGATCAAAGTCTGCAATTTCATTTTCTTAAAATAATGAAAACCACTGCTCTCATCATCACTTCAAAATAAAATATGCATGTCTATTAAAAGAAAAATCCTTAAACTTGTTTTCATAGCAAAATGGCCAAGCTGGAAGAGTTGGAAGAAATTGATATTAGTGGGAACAAACTGAAAGCCATTCCAACAACCATCATGAACTGCAGACGTATGCATACTGTAATTGCTCACTCCAACTGCATTGAAGTCTTCCCAGAAGTCATGCAGCTTTCTGAAATAAAGGTAAGGAATGAATGTGCTTTAGGAGAAGGAAGTATAATGCAACTTCACCAATTCTATTCTTCCCTCGGGTCTCTCATTGCTGTGGGCTAGTATATTTTTGGAAATTACAGAGATCCGACAGCCACTTTCTCCTCTGAGGTCGTATGCAAAATACTCACCCCTGTGCTGCCTTGGAGTGGAATAGAAGAAGCGCTTCAAAATGTGATTTTATGCTCACCTTGGCTAGATCCTGTCTTCTCTGCCCATTAAGTGTTAATTGTCTTCCTGTGACAGTCTGTTTTGTTATGACTTAAACATTTGGCAGGAGCTGTGCGTAATTAACTCTTGTGCCTTGGCAATTGGTTGATTGTGAAGGAACGGACTTTGTTTAGACCGCGCGTTAAAAACCGCTGAAGCTGCAAAATAGGATAGGCCTTGGGGACAGAGATAAATTCCAGGAGCACCAGATTTGAGTATTTAGGCAGGCTACTTTAATTTTCCTAATTGCAGTCATATTTTGCACAACCTGAGGAATGCTTAATCTGTCTCTTGTATGTGTTTCCAGAATTAATCCTGTACTTTTCCTGACACTTCTTTTTGTGGAACGCATTCTTTGCTTGACGATGCTGCAGAGCACTACTGCTTACTTTTACTTGCTGTGAATCAAGTTCCTGCTTCTTGCCTGGCTGTAGGGCAGAATACTTCACGCTGTTGCTGCTGGCCAGAGCTTGGAGACTGCTAACTCACAGCATACAAATCTTGTGATAGGGCGGAAAGTCTGTCATTCTCTGAGGCCGAGAACTGATTACCTATTTGCGAACTCAAAACAACTTAAGGGTCCTTCAGGCGCTCTGAGAAGTCAAAAGGCTAAGTTCCCAGACTGCCATGCGTGCCTCAGTGCCTGGGGTCAGGGAACGCAGCAGGAGCAATAATTCTGTTGGATAGCGAATGCACGTAAAGATGAGCTTTGTGGTTTTAGCCAGGAAATCTCAAACAAACTTGTGGGTTTCTGAATACTCCTCCCTCTTTGGAACAATGGCAGAGGAAGCGGAGGGCCATTTAGAATCAATCGGAAGCAAAGCCATTTTTCTTAGAGGAAGAATTGGGGTGGGGGAGCGAGGCTCTGCACCGTAAACCTTTAAAAATATGACAGTGGTGTTAACAAATAAAAAAGGAGGGTAATGTAAACAGTCTGTCAGGGAACAGTCAACTTTTTCCTTTCGTTCATGTGTTTTGGGGAAAGCAGAGTGTTTTATAAAAGCAGCAGTGTTTAAAGTGCTACTCTGCCACAGCGCTTAGCAGAAAAAGACTCTTGGAAGACCCAGCAGTTTCTTCCTGCTCGTTGCCTATGGTTATTTAGTTCTCTTTAGCAGAAGGAGGAGGCATGGAAGTCACTAACTGTTTGGGGACTGCAGGGATAGCGTGTGCGACTACGTCGAAGAGGGTACAGTGCTCTAGGACTCCATCTTTGTGGAAGGAAAATGCCTAGTATTTACTTACATGAAGTGAGCTCATATCGTTGCTAGATGGGAAGGTGCCTTGTTGGGCATAGGGGTTGTTCTGGCCTCTTGGTGATTTCTCTGTGTCGTAGTTGGTGTTGTCAGTTTGAAGGTCAAGCTTGTGCTGCCTGCCTGTATCTCTTACTTAGCTGAACCAGAGCTCCATCTTAAGTAGGTGAGAGCATTTAAAATGTGCCAAAGTAACTTCAGAATGCACTGCTGAAGTATGGATTTGGTCATTTGGTGAAATAAGCTTGCTTGTAGCAAAACATGAAGTTGTGTAGTCTCTTGCCACCTCTGTGATTGTATCGTATCTGATGATGAATTTTAATTGAGATGGCATTCAAACACTAAACTTCTTGAAGAAACTGTTACCTGAGGTAATGGCTGTTTTGCTTTAGTATTTAATTACCCCAAGAGGTTCATGTGTTAAATTTTGAAGTTAGAGCAGCAGTTACTATGCTGCCTGAAATAATTTCAGAAGGAAAGCTAGTATAAATGTTGATGCTTTTACACTTGCAGTAACTCCAGGATTTCCAAACAGAAGGTCATTTTAGTGATACAATTGTCTCTAAGCCTTTTTGACACACTACAGTCAAGGCTGCAGAAGTTATGTGTGGTCCTCTGTGTTAAAGAGCCTGGTGGATGTCTCTGAGAGGTCTTACACAATACATTTTTTTAGGAGCTTTAGTGTATTTTTATGTCCGTTATTCCTGTGGTCAGCTAGGTTTATCTGTTCACACTGCAGTGTCTTCTGTGAATGGCCGAGCAGCTGGAAGCACACACGCCTGAGTCAGTGCCCCAGCAGACTCTTCCTTACAGCCTTTATCTGACATCAATTTCCTTGCCTTACAAAATAAAAAAGGGCCCTTTTTAATTGTTATCCAGCATCCTGGTGTTTTTTTGCAGTCCAGCGGTTGAGTGCTTGAGCAGAGCTCAGTGACCCAGGCTTGCTTTTCCCACCTGGGACCTGGCTTTACTTCATCATCCAGTTTTAGTTGACCAATGAGTTGCTTCTCTTTGTGGCTCTCTTGCTGGGCTGCTGCAGTGAGGGTGATATGGAGGTTTCTTGTTGCAGTTCTTCGTCAAGCTTATCTTTCACAGGAGCATTACCTTGAGATCTGAAATGAGTAGCAGTAGCATCTTAAAACAAAACTCCCCCTATCTTTGGTAGTTTTTGGCCTAGTTAGATAGGTTGGTATCAGCATAGCCTTCTTCAGTTGTAACTGGACGTAATTCAGGTCTCTTCCAGCCTTGAAGAAAGCAGTTACAAAGATGTAAATGCAGCATAAGCAAATGCTGACTATTAAACCCTGTCTTCCAGCTGGCCCATCCAGCGCGAAATCCTGTGAGCAATTGCAGGAGTTGTTCTTCTGGTGCTGCGTAGGTGGGGCTAAACTAGCTTGCGTTAAAATAATGCATGAGGAAATTGGGATTGGTTAGGAAATAGGCTTTCCTGCTTGCCTGGGGAGTAGAATAAGGACTAAATCTAACATAGATATGCAGAAAGTTCCTCTTCAAACAGTACAAATAAAATCTAAGAAATCCTAAATTGATAAGTGAGCTATCCTCACTAGTGCCTAGAGACTAAGGGATCTGCTGTAGAGTGTTGTTTCCTTTGGCATATTGGGCATTTCATGAGAACAATGAAATTACTTCACTGATTTTTGTACTTGTTATTCCAGCATTGCTCTTCCATCAAATTTGTAATGGCATTGAGGTGTTGAACACAGCAAGACCTCCTGGCAGCTCCTTTAATCTGCAAAGTAATTACTGGCTCTCTGGAAGCAGCACGAGTTGCGCAGAGGGAGAAAAAGCTCACTGGAATAACTGTTCTGTTAAGCCGTCTACTGTTTTGTTTGCGTGACAGATTTAAACTCTGATTTCCTTATCGGGCTTAAATAATGTCAGCAGTTTGTTCTTCATAAAAATAATGCCTCCATATTAGACAGCCTCAGGAGTCAAGATTTGGGTTGGAAATCTGTTATTTCCATTGCTTGTATTTAATAACATGTTAGGAGATTTTTCTTTTCCAGATTTTACTAGGTTATCTTATGCCTTCTTCCAGCTCAGAACCCAATTTCTTTGATTATACCTACAAAAATGAAAGCGTCTCGCTTGTGTCAATGGAAATTGTGTAATGGTCAAAATGTGCAGCTGGGAAAAACCTCCCTCAGCCCAGACCTTTTCAACTCTGTTTTGTTGAAGTTTTTGAAGTCTTACTCTTTTTGCAGGTTGAAAGTAGAAACCTGTCTTATTGAAAGATGTGGACAGTTCTTCTAAACTCTGCCTGCTCTGTCCTAGCAAAAAAAATAGTATCTTTTTCTTCCCCCCAATTTTTGGCGCATGCCACGCTGCTAGTGCCATAACAGGGTTTGGAGAGTGGGTTTTGTTCTAAAATGGCATATTTTTTCTTGTGTGTAGATTTTCATCTGCACATGTAGCTTTCAACAATGTTTGTTTGGGGATTTTGTCATCCTAGTGCGCTTGTTCTAGCTAATTCGTGCTTAGCTGGTGGGTAGCCATCAAGTTTCTCTGTTGTTTTGCATTATATTTTTTCTGAAATATATAAGCTTTAAATTTTTTTCACTCATTTTATTGACTACAGATTTAAATATTAACCCATCTAAGATGACACAAATTAAAACCGTGTTCAAAACTGCTCCAGTATTTTTTCCTTTCCTTCTCTACTCCACCTTCCCTCCACATGCCTTCATAAGCCTGCTTATGTTGATGTCCCTCAGTAATTACTAAATTCCTGAGAGCCTGCTCATGCTCATGTTGGTTTAAACTGTCTTTGGAAGAGGGACTGCTGTGCCAGTGGCTTGGAAGCTCCAACTGTATTTATCTCCATTTCCTTTATCTATTAAAAGACTGGTTTCATCACTAACACTTTTTCTTAAATACTTGAAAATACACTGACCATCTTTGTCTCTGTGAAGAGCAAACAAAACTTAATAGTTCTGTAACAAGATGACACCTGGTCAGATGGAAATGGAGGGAACATATTTCTAGGTATCCCGGACATCTGGTAAGATGGCTGAATGCCATATGAATTTCTTTGGTAGCAACCACTTACTTAAATGAATGGTCTTAGTTGCAGCCTTTGTTGTTTATGAAACATGCATTACTACCTTTAATCAAAATTTGTGTGATCTTGGTAACATCTAAATTCTCTTGCTTTCCTTCTACAGTGTGTGGACCTAAGCTGCAATGAGCTGAGTGAAGTCACATTGCCTGAAAATCTGCCTCCAAAACTACAAGAGCTGGACCTGACTGGAAATCCCAGATTAGCCTTGGATCACAAAACCCTAGAGCTGCTGAAGTGAGTTACCTTACAAACTAAGGAGGAGGCAGTGACTCCTGACACTAGGATGTGACAAAACCACAATACGTGGAAGTGTAAATCTCTCTTAAGAGAGTGTGGCTCCTTATTGTCAGTGGATCAGAAAGTAACAGGTTATGTGGGTAGGTCAGAAATTGATGCTGTGTTAAAGAGGATGACTTTACCCACTGCAGTGCAATTGCTTTCAGCTGTAACTTCTGCAAAGGTCTGCTAGTCTGGTATAACCACTGTTTGGCCAGTTTGATCTCCATTTGACTTCTGACATTAGATTTAACCAAAATACTTACTTACTGCAGCGCTGACATGCAAAATGTAGCAGCTTGCTGCGTTTTTTCCTTCACATTCATCTGTTTGGGTCTGCCTTTGCCGTTGTGCTGCTTTTTACCTCTTCACATACTGTTTCTTGTTAGCCTTCAAGTCTTTCTGCTTTTGTCCTAGCAATATTTATTTTTGCCATATTTAAACCTCTTCTGAAGATTTGCATCTCCCGGTCTGCTTGCAGCAAAGCTAGTTCCCTTTCTTTGGGACCCTCCTTTTCCTTCCTATCTACCTGTTTGTTTCCTGCCCTAAAACTTGTGTCATCCACAACTGAATTTCACCAGGTGCTTTTTGCCTCCTTCTCCATTTGTTGGGAAACTGTTGCACTAAACCAGGTCATCTGTGCACAGTGGTGCTGCCTTGAACTTTTCTTATGTCCTGAAGGGAACTGCACCAGCTCTGAGTTTTCTTCTCAGTCTCTTTGATCCTTAAATACTGGATTATTTCAACAAAGGTTGATTTACTTTTTAAGGGTTGAGCAGTTGCTTCGTGTGGTTTGCTTTTAAATTGTTAAAATCCAACACTGGAATAGTAAACCTCATCTGTTGTACAAGCAAGGGAAACTTCCAGTTTGAGTTTGCTTTTAGCTTGAATCGGCAGATTTATCAAATTAAGTGGAAATTTGAATAATGTGAGTTTTCACAGGTAAAAACAAGAGTCCATGTTCTGCAGCAGACAGCAAAAAAAAAAAAAAAAAGGAGCCCTCCTCTATTTTAGGAGCCGCTTTGTTGTATTCAGGAGACCTTCATGAAGAAGCAGTCTGTAATGTTGCTCTGGTTCATAGAGGGGATGGGGAAGGAACATATGTTACAAAGCTGATTAAATTCTATCAAAAGTTAAAGATCAGCTTTTATTGTGTATAACCCAGCAGACAAGATGGGCAAGCCAGTCTCTCATCGCCTTAGTGTTCAGGCATCATGCCCTATAGCAGTATCGTATGAATTTAACTCCCAAGTAGCAAAAGAGTAGTGTGGCCCAATTACGTGCCATGTTTTCATTGGCATATGCATTGTCTTTAATTCACAGGAAACTTTTTTCCTGTTCTGTGAAAGAAGTTCCTTGGTTATTTGTGGTTTATTTGTTATTTGTGTTGGGGGGCGGTGTTTCTTAAGAAAACCCCAAATTACTATTAAGACGTAAGGTTTTCTTCCCTGGTATTCATTAGCCACAGTCTTTGAGGAGCTTCTTATTGTCTGTACTCATATACTGCACTGACTTCTACGGTGTACTGCTATAATTGACTGAGGGAGGAGGTGCTCCTTTCGCTTGTTTTTTGTAGCAGGCACAAAAATACTTGTACACTTGGTACTTTTTATATCTTCCTTCTGCATGTGAAAGGCAGCTCTCCATCTGTGCCCTGGCAGGATTCAAGCAGGTAGTAGGTTAATATGTATTTTCAGTGCTGGCAAGAAGAGTCCTGTCATGCATGCTTGCTTTTTTAATATGTATGGAGATCTTAGAGGAGGCTCGCATGCTTAGGAGGATGTTACCAAGTGATTTATTGGATGTAAGAATTTTCAGTAGGAATTAAAATGAAAAAAAAAAAAAAAAGGTGCTGCTACACTGATTTTTACGGAAGAACATCTAGTTCAATTGTAACAGTCATCTTAAATTAGGGGTAAAATAAACCATGCTGCCCAGAAGCCCTAGCCCATATCCCCTGCATTGGGTGTGCTTCTGGATAGCATTCCTTTCTGGGCGCATGGTCTGTCTGTAGTGGTGCCACTGAGAGAGCTGCAAGCAGTTCACCACTGCTGGGAAGGCTTGAGATGACTCTAGGCTCTTGACCTGCCCAGGAACCAGGGGTCAGTCAGCCCAGTTAAAAAAGAAACAAACAGAAAAGCCTTTTTGATCCACGTTCCTCTGCCATGGAGGATGAGTGCCTTGTATGAGAAGTGTGCAAAGAAAGTGTGTTTGCTTGTGTGTGCAGTATAGTGCAGGTGCAGACAGCATTAAAATCTCTGCTACTTGAGAAGAGACCTAGGTTTCCAGTTTGATTTGGGGTCAGATAATCTTTTCTAATGCTCTTGGCAAGTTGTGTGTCTCCTGTTTGACACACAGAGGGCTGCAAAACCAAGGGCTTAAAACACCAGTGGTCCTAATGTTATTTATGTAATTTGTTTGCTTTTTAATCTGACCTCGCTGATGCACACATCCTGACTATTAGTGTAAAAAGAAATTGAACTGGATGTGACAGTACTTCAAGTTATTTGAGGAAGACTGTGCAATGCTGGAAAGACTTTTCTGTGTGTTCAGTTCAGGTGGGGGTTTGGATGGAGAAAAACGAGTGCTCAGAGTGAACAGTTAGACCTTTCTGCTTGTGCCCTTTTATGATTCATTTGGTTCATGAAAGGTTCAGGTGCCTTTGAAGTCTGCGGCATGTGGGGAGCTCCCTTTCCCTGCCTTTGGAAGAGAGCAGTAGGGAGCAAGGGGCAGGTCATCTCCCCCCAGCAAAGCAGGGCTGTGAAGAGAAGGGTATAAACAGGGAGGGCTGGGCCCTTTTTAAATCTTTTACTACGCTCTGTGAGATATTTGAAGCTCGGGCTAAAGGCTATGTTGGTAGTAAATTGGAGGGTAGAGGATCAAGGGCCCAAGTAAAAATTGGCCTGCATGACTGGGGAAGACAGAAGGGCTGTGCCTGCTGTCAGGACCGCAGGCTGGCTCTTGCAGGTTGGTGCAGGACCAGGATGGAGCAGATTTGTTTTGTGGGTGTTTTCATGGAAGGCTGTTATTACACATTGCTAGTTCTAAATAATTAAATATTTTCTATCCTTCCCTCCTTTCTCTCTCCCCTCCTTATAGGCGATGGTGTGGGTCATACAGGAGGTTTCATTTGGGTACAATGTAAAGAGCCCAGAGACTTGTTAAAATGGGTAGGAGAGATGTATAATTTTAAAAATTATACTCTAGTACTGGCTTTCATCAAGCTAGTGACAAGTTTCCCTTGTATTTCTACTGGGCCAGATTTGAAACAAATAGCTCAGGGATGAGGGCAGGGAAAGAAAAGCTGGCGAAGCAAAACAATGCAGCTTGACACCCTCATAGAGACTGAGTTATTTAGTGCTTTTTTGTTTTTTGTATACAGGCACTTAAAAGTAAGCACTTTGGATATCCTGCTTCATTTTCTTGTATTAAATGTATCACATTAAGAATGGGGAGGGGGGAAAAAAGGTGTTATCTTCGCATTTTAAGCTGGTCATGTCAGCACTTCAATCCATTGCTTCTTTCCCCTCTCCTTTTTTCCCTGTAGCAATATCCGTTGCTTCAAGATCGACCAGCCCTCGGCCGGTGATGCTTCAGGAGCACCGGCAGTGTGGAGTCACGGTTACACAGAAGCATCAGGCGTCAAGAACAAGTACGACCTGGCATGGTTTTCGTTACACGACCGTCATCCTAGCAGCAGAGTGCCTCTGTGCTGATGATACAAAGAAATCCTTTCTTTCAGTGAAAGTTTTGGGGAGGTTTTGGGCGTCACAAAGGCAGGGGCCATGCCATGACTCTCTATATTTGTCTACTGGGCCCCTGGCTAGCTCTCTACTTTGGTCTTTGTTAGGGAAGTTGCTAAGATACGAGTGTAACCGACACATTTTGTCTGTGCAAGACTCCGGTACTTGCAAAAGATCTGAGTGTTTAAAAGCATTTTCCTCTTTGCAAAGCTTCTTTATCTTAAACCAAAGGATGTTTACCAAGCAAATCAGAGATACTAAAAGAAGAGGCAGAATGGCCAAAACTCTGAATATTCATAGTGTGCAGAGCTCCTGTGACTAAGGCAGCACTTGACAAATAATGTACCAAGAGTCTGCTAGTCTCTGTGTTGCTGGCAATGTGATGAATCTTTCTTTGTTCCTTAAATACCTTCTTAGAAATCTTCTGCTACCTAGGTTTCCGTAGCAAGTGCCAGCACGCCTTTACTTACCGTTAAGGGGTAACTTGGTCACTGGCATGTTAAATCACAAGGATGGCTTTTGGAGGAGCAAGTGCAATTTAAACTGATGTTATTTCAGAGATACTTTTCCCTCTTTTTCTGCAAATAAGAGAGTTGTTCACATGCTGAAAAAGAGGAAAAATCGTTAGAGCTTGACTTGAACTACCAGCGTAGTTCTCTCCACATCTTAGCACTGTGATGGGCCTGACTCTCTCCACAGCTCAGAAAGCAGTCCTGAAATGTGTATGAACAGAGGTGGTTGAAACTAGCTCTCAGACTGGGCTGCGTCTCTCTGGTCAGACTGACAAGATGAAAAAATAGTAGTAGGTAACAACCTTGATGTTCTCCTCTTTTGGGTTTTTTTTTTTCACTAGGCTGTGTGTGGCAGCACTTTCAGCCAATAACTTCTGCGACAACCGGGAGGCGCTTTATGGTGTTTTCGATGGTGACCGCAACGTGGAAGTGCCGTATCTGCTGCAGTGCACAATGAGTGACATTTTAGCAGAAGAGCTGCAGAAAACAAAGAATGAGGAGGAATACATGATCAACACTTTCATCGTTATGCAGAGGTGAGTCTTGCATTTGAAGCCTTTTCTATCTTGTGTGTGCTCAGTGGGCAGTTTGTTCATTTTCAGGTCAGACACCTGCTCTTGCTTCAGAAAAAATGCAAGAGGGAGGAAAAAAGCCTTGGGATCTGGCTGTGGTGCTTTATTTTATTGCTTGTTTTGGGAATATTGCCCTCCATTCCTTCTGGGTGTGGGGAGAAAAACTTCAACACCTCCCCACCCAAACAGAAACAAAACAAAACAAACCACCTGCAAAGTTACTAAATGCTCATGACTAAGTGGTGGGTGGAGGTTTACTCCTTTCTGGTATCTTCTTTAAGTCTTACAATTCACAGTTGCTGTAACCAAGTCAGTGGTATGAATCTCTTGGTCATGTTTTAAATATCCTTATTGTTACTGGCTGCAAAGCCTGAGCTCATCATTTCTGTTTCTCTGGATCAATTCAGGTTACTTAATGCTACACAAATATTTAAAACGTATAGTCTGACTCCTTAGAAATGTCTGTATGCTGTCATCCCTTTTGCCTTAGAATATTACTTGAGCATGGACCTATCCAAAGAGATTGTGATATGGTAGCTGTGAGTATAATAGTAGCTCTTTGTAATGGTTTGGAAACCTGCGTGCGTGCTGTTCTTGACAGAAGAAGAAGTGGTGCCTGGGGAGACACCGAGTGAAGGAGTATGAAGGGAATTGAACAAAGGAGAACGAAGAGGTCAGGGAAACAAAGGAGAAAGCAAATAAGCAGCTTAGAGGCTGAGGAAATGGATCAAGTTAAAAGTAGCATTGCTTATTCTGGAATTGCTGTACCTTCGGAAAGGAAAAATACTGAAGTTCTGGTATCAGGAAAGATACGGAAGCAGTAGGGTGGTACTGAACCTAACAAACACAAGAGAGAAAATGCTCCCTTCCCGTAGTTGCTTATAACAGTGCCTCAGACCGGTAGCTGCGAAGGTGGTTGCTGTATACTTAAAATATTCAAACATGATAGCAAATTTGAGTATCGAGCGTACTTACTAAGTGGTTTTGTTTACTACTAATGCAGTTTCACAGGAATGTGGCTTTCCTACAAAAAACTGCTGCTTTTTTTTCTTGTTTTTCTTTTTGGCTTCAAGTCAAAATAAGCTAACCACTTCTTTGCAGAAATAGCATTCATTCCAGTTGCATTTAATCATTCATTGAAGATTATTACAGATAATATGCAACACTCCTGAAGTGGATTTAAAAAAAAAAATAAAAGCACATTGAAGCTTGGTTTCAAATTCTGTTGTGCTTTCTCTCCCCGGATTTTGAATTAAAAGTTCTTGCCAGCTATACCTAGCCTTAATACGAATTTTAGTAACCTCTGTAATTTCCTTTCTAATTGCTGTAATTCCTAATTACTATAGGAGAATGCCTTAATAAGATACTGGGAAGGATGGATGTTTTTTCACAGTCTAGTATTGAAATGAGTTTACTTTCTAATGACAGGACTCTGAAAACTTCTGTTTTCAGATTTTAAATTTTTTTTTCCACTATAACTCCTGTTAAAACAGCAGGCTTAAATATTTCAAAGAACCTATTTAACAGGTGTGCCCTCTTGTAGCAGAATTAAGAGCCACTGTGCTTTTTTGGTCATCATTTGATTCTTGAAGAGTATTATTCTGAAGACATCACAAAGCAGTGAACCTCTGCTTTCTGGGTTTGCTCCAAAATAGAGTTTTTACAGTTAGAATTACTATTTTCATATTAAAATCTGTAGCTTCAGAAGTCAGAAAAAACAGCTGGATAATATGAACCCCCTTTTTAAGCTCTACCTGTATTAAATTAATAGTCCTCAGTACTTTTCTGACCCTCTCTGTTTTTCTCGGTCTGACCTTTAAAACAAATGTGTTTAAGATGTAGAGGAAGACACCTGTGCAACTCTTCAAAGTGCAAAGATTTTGTTGTTCTAAAATTGAGCAGATTTGAGTATCCACATATGTGTAAATAACCCCTTGCCTGAGAGTTGCACATGTCTCTCTGCACTGCTGCAGTAGTGTCACAGTCTTCAGTGGAGACTTTTGTTTCTGATCCAATAGAGTCAATGCACCGAGTGCTTGTGGTTGCAGAACAGCGGCTGTTTCTCCATAGTACCCGTAACACTTGTTTTCCAGTTAAAGGACAATCACTGTTTTGTTTAAATTCCAGGAAACTTGGAACAGCTGGACAAAAACTTGGAGGCTCTGCTGTGCTTTGCCATATAAAACACGATCCCATGGACCCTGGTGGATGCTTCACACTAACCTCGGCAAACGTGGGGAAGTGCCAAACCATTCTCTGCCGGAATGGGAAACCTCTGCCTTTGTCCAGGTGTTATGTGATGAGTTGTGAAGAAGAGCTGAAGAGGATTAAGCAGCATAAGGCCATTATCACCGAGGTTAGAGAAAAGTCAGGGACTGTTGTAGCTTGCAGCTTCCTCGGAGAGCAATGCACAGCAATGCATGAAATTACATGTTGTTATTAGTAAACCTCTAAGAGGTCGTGATAATGGTATAGATTCCAGAATTGCACTTTTCCTTTCAAGGTGATTTATATCATGCAATCAAGTGATTGTGTGATAAAGTTACTTTTCCATCCCATTGCCATGCTGGAGTTTGGTTAGCTTCAGAGAACGAGCAGCTGTGAGCATGTTGCACTAAAACAGGAAAGCAGACACCCTCCTCCTCATGGAGAGAGGAATTACTGTGTTGGAGCTGTCATGAAGAGCCTCTGCAATTGAAAAGAATGACAGGGCAGAGTACTTGGAGCAATGCTGTCCTTCCCTTAGGAGGCTCCTTGCTCCTGGCAGGCTGACTTTGCTGTCTGAGCTCCTGCATTCCCAGAGCTGTCCTTTGACGGACAACTGTCAAAGAGAGCACTTGCCCAAAGGAAACCTCTTCCTGTGCTCAGCTGAACCATGAGAAAGAAGACTTATTTGTTCCCTCCTTACAAGCTTGAAGCCACAGCTGTCAGTTTTACTTTGCCTTGTGTGACACATGCACAGGAACAGATAAATATTGAATCCCTCTAATGGTGGAGGAAAGGGCAGAAAACTCACTCCTGTATGCCCATGAGCAGGGTGTGCATGTCTGTTTGGTGGGGAGGTGGAATAAGTCATGTGCCTATTGATCGAGCCAGGGAAAGGTGGCAACTGGGATCTCAAACGTGACAAGCTGGGAGTCACTCCAACATAGTGTGCATCACTGAAGCACGCTCGTTGTAGAGGAAAGGGGAAATTTCTGCGCTGAATCTGAAGATGACTCACTGATTTCATGCACAAGTTAATGGCTTATCACTGCTGTCAGCCTTCTAATGGGGAAGTTAACAAGGGTTGGGTATTTTTTTTTTCTTCCGAGTGGTTTTAAAGGGGAAGCTTTTTTTAGTCTTAATTCACATTTCTGTGGTTATGTGCTTTATAATAACCACTGCAGTCATCAGCTGGACCAAATGAGTATAAATCTTCACGTTTGTTATTCTTCTCGAACATGCTATTAGCAGGGTGCAGCTATCCATAGCAAGCTGACAGATAGCCAGGCTTGCTGATCAGACACTTGCACTGCTTATTCTGAGAGCTTGGATTCTAACCAGGATCCTGGGATTTGGACTTGCATGGGATTTACTTCTCAAATACATCAATTTTTACTGATGTTTTCCCTTCAGATACTACTCCTCCTCCCCTTGGAAATGTCGTGTCTAAGTGGGAATGTAGTAAGTAATTGGGGCATGTAAAACATTCCACTACAACCCAGCAGACTGAGAAATGCAGACTTGCTCTCTTCTGCATTTGACTTGCATGCTTCATTTAAAGTCTTTTTGGTTTGGGTTTTTTTTAAATGAACTTTTGTTTCTGAAGTGATGAGCCAGGATGAAACCTCCCAATGTTACAGCTGCAGGAGAAGAGTCATAATTGAATGACCTGCCCCTATATCAAATGGAGCTGTGTGTGGCTTTGCCTTGTATAAAGCCAGATATCGTGGGTGGAGGAGGGATAAGTCTGACTCACTGGTAAAACATTAGTCCAGTTGGCTCTCGCAGATGCAGGAGCGGAATAGATTGCTCTTTGTTGCAGGCTTCGACTTTGTTGGTCTGTGCATAGGTGATGCTGATGATAAATCAATAGGGTGTAGGAGGTGTAGTGCAGGATTGCAAACCAGCCATTGCTGTGCTCTAATCCCAGCTCTGTTACCTCCTTGCAAGTCTCTTTGCTTTTCTGTCATCTTGTCTGTAAATGGCAGTGTTGGGATTACTGCAATAACAACCTTCAGTAAAACACAAGGAGATGCAGGTGCTGTGTATCCTGCTTTGTTTCCAATTTCCTGTCCTTTCTAATTTCAGGATGGCAAAGTGAATGGTGTGACGGATTCAACAAGAATCTTGGGGTACACCTTCCTTCACCCAAGTGTTGTGCCGCGTCCTCACGTCCAGTCCATCACCTTAACTCCACAAGATGAGTTTTTCATTCTGGGGAGCAAGGGGCTGTGGGACAGCCTCTCGATGGATGAAGCAGTGGAGGCAGTCAGAAACGTGCCTGATGCGCTGGCAGCCGCGAAGAAGCTTTGCACTTTGGCCCAGAGTTACGGCTGCAACGACAGTATCAGCGCTGTCGTGGTTCAGCTCAACGTGACGGAGGACAGCTTCTGCTGCTGTGAACTTAATGGGGTCCCACCCCCTAGCCCAGGCATTTTCCCCCAGTCTGTCAACGTGGTCATCAAGGACAGGCCAACAGATGCGCTTGGGATGCCATCTTCCAGCAGCGGCATGGCTTCGGAGATCAGCAGCGAGATCTCCACCTCTGAAATGAGCAGTGAGGTGGGGTCCACAGCGTCCGACGAGCCTCCCCAGGTAGCCATGAACGAGAACAGCCCAGCCTACCCCGGGGAGCAGCGCTGCATGCTGCACCCTGTCTGCCTGTCCAATTCTTTCCAGCGGCAGGGCTCCCGG